ATTTTAGTAACTACTAAAGATAATTCACTCAAAATTGATATTTACAATATTTTTTAGACAAAAACGTAAGAATATTATAAATTTGTGGAAAATCGGCGTAGCCACGCCCACTTATGGCTACATGTGTATAGCTTGGTAACCGCCACACCAATTTTTTCCAAACTTGGCAGAGTTGTTAGCCTTGCTACAGCATAAATTTTCAGAAAATTTTCAAAATCGGACATAACCACGCCCACATCCCATATAACGGTAATATTGAGAAATACTAAATCTTCGATAAATCAGTAAATATTAAAGCTAATTTATTCAAAATTGATGCTTGCAACAATTATTAACCAAGAAATACGTTTGTGATAAAATTTTGGAAAATGGGCGTGGCACCGCCCACTTATGATCACATATATGTATGTATATCGGTAACCGTTCTACCAATTTGTACCAAAACGTTGAAAATCATTGAAAAAGAGGACTAAAACTTTTTTCTTTTGAAAAGATAAAAGATCTCTCGAATATGAGATACCCTTTTCGACATGTTACAACGTTCCAATAAAAAATAAAAATCGTCAAATTTGTAACAAATTTGTGCGATATATCGTACAGATGTCAGCAAAGGTTGCATGCTTTTTTTTGTGTTGTCCACCGTCTCATCCTCTTCAAGGTAGGATGTGCAAACGGAGTTGTCATGTACGCCTATCATAGTCAGGTGTTTCTGCCACGTGAAGTGACCAGTCTGCAGTCCAGTAAGTTGTCTGCAGTCCCGCCGTCTGCTAAGTGAGAGCAAAAGTCTGGATAGACCTTCTGAGATTGAAAGCAACATGACTTTTTCCCACCTGCATACATTCGCTTAAATTGTAAATAGGAAAACCCTTTCTAGGAGGCATTCAGGGAAGCAATTTTTCACCCCTTGTTGGGTAACTATCTTAAAATGACTCCACTTAAGATAGTCTACCTATTGGTAAAAAATATTATGAAGCGCATTGCAGGATATGTGGAAATTTGCCAATGGTGGTAAGGCAAGCATTCGAGACCACGTTAATGGCGCCAAACATTTTTCAAAGTTACGTCGCAGTCAAGATAAATTATTTCTTTTACAGTTAAAAAAATGTAAAACATGCGCGTTTCATACAATACATCATCATCGATCATTCAGCTCTACGGATTGTGCCACAAAACTACACTGCTTATATATCAGAAATTACTTCCAAATATTTAATTCAACACCAGAATTAAAGCTACTATACTTATAGGGAATATATTGGCACCATATTCACTTGTATATTCGATTTTGATATGCATGATAGTGTCCTGGTCGAAGGGATCTGGCTTATGGCAGCCCTAGTCTACTATCACTCCGAAGTACTTTGTGTGATTCTTTAAATTATGTATCCACGTTAAAATTGCTTAACTAGGCCATATGATATTGGACCATTCAAACATTCCTCTAACAAGCATTTGCGGAAATGTATGAGAATTTTAAGGAGAAAAAGGGATCAAATTATTTTCAAGGTGTTAATTGAAATCAAAGCCAAGAAATACAGTTCTGAAATTACCACCCATTTGGAAATCGGATGATTAAAATGACAAAGTCTTTATCTTAAACATTCATAAAAAAGAACAAGTATGCTCTTTGTAATGCGGCATTTCCACACAGAGCACATTTATTGGCATAGCCAGCGAGCGAGTCGCTGTTAATTTAAGACAATTTTAATTTGGGAAGACATAAAGCCAGAAGAATTATATGTTGCACGCATGTAAAATTACAAATACAATTTATATATATATATATATTTATATATATACACCGGTTACATTTCATCGCACTTATTATGTATAAACATTTATTTAACTTAAAAGCAAATTAAACTACTGAATTCATGGCTCAGAGATACGTTGACAAGCTCTTGTTGTCAAATGTAATGCCCGCATCGCAGATTAAATGTACGCCTTCTGAATTTTACTCATATCAGCGCCTGCCATGCGTTCAATTTGTGATATTCTTACAAACAATTTTGTAAATGACCACTGTGCCATAATTAATTAATGCGCGCTCATTTACGCTTGTACCGGTTGGTCCACAAGATATGGCCATAATTCATTTCAATAATTTCTTAAATGCGCTGGGCACTGTCATACGCACCCCTGCATGTCCAAATAAACACACACACTCCCTAACCATGAATGCATCCATGCATGTATGTAAACGTAGGTTAATACTTACAAAGGAATCGTATCGATGGAGAGAAGTCATCCGATGGCGTCCGTCGCCTGGCGAAATGACCGCTTGAAAATACTCTCAATATTTCAAAAACAGACTGGTGCAATGCGCGTACGCGTAAATAAACGCCAATGCATAAAGTCAGCAAAAAACAACAGCAACAACTGAGCAACGATGGCAGCAAGTAAATTGCCGTGGTCGAAGATTGAAAAACAATACCAAAATTGGTGCGAAATGGTCAAACCAATGCTGGCCACACCAACAACAACGCCAACCACTACATCAATATTATAATCATGTGAGTAAAGCTGAAAATTTAAGTGGTTTATCGCAGCGAGATTCTTATTTTAAGTGCAACAACAAGCAGCAGGAAAACAAATGTCAGCAACACAGTAAAAGCAATGTACATTAGGGTGGTCAAAAAAAAAAAAGTGAAGTCGGAATTTTAATGCTCTCACCCCCTTTTTTATTTTGAAAAAAAGAAAAAATTAATATTCTGTCTTATCCTGAGTTTCGCCAGAAAAAAAATTCACCCGAAAATTTGTCATCCGCCCATAGTAAATCCATGGAAACCAAATGTGAAAAGTGATCCGGGTCGGGGAAAATGAAACTCATGATAAGGCTGATTAAGTTGTCGCTCAAAACGCTCAAAGTTTCCCATGTATTTTATATGAAAAAAAAAACACTTTTCGTAGAAATGGTATAAAATTCATGAAAATCAATATTTTTCGATCGGTTCTCTTCAGAAGACTTTCAATAGTAATACCCAATTTTTTATTTAACCATTTTTTAACACTAAATTTTTTTTATTGGTCCCCCCATTGCATTTTTTTGGCGGTTTTTAGCGCACCTTTAAAATATAGTTACTATAAGAAAATGGTTAAATAAACAATTGGGTATTATTGTTGTGAATCTCCTGAAGAGAACCAGATTTTTTCGATCGAAAAGTATTGATTTTCAAGAATTATATACCATTTATACGAAAAGTTGTTTTTCCCCATATAAAATACATGACAGACTTTGAGCGCGTTGAACGACCTCTAATTATTTTTTGATTTCACAATTAAAACAAATAAGTTTGGTAAAGAACAATCCTAGGGGGTGGGAGCATAAAAATTCCGAATTTTCTGTTTTACATGCATTTTAGACCAACCTAATGTACATAGATACTTGAGTGTGTGCCTGTGTCTCTTGAAAAGCATTCGTTGACTATCGACTTTCCAATTACTACATATGTATGTACAACATGCGTGTGCAGTGAACGATGTGAAAGGCAGAAATCTTTACAAATGTAAATTTTAAATAATGGCACGAGGACAATTGTGTGCGACACATGGCAAACGCATTCGAAGAAGTAAGTGAAAAGGAGTGCGAAAAAGAAGATTGTATAATTTTTTTTCGAAAGAATGGAGGAAATAAATTCAATTAATGTATTTTTTATGTATATATGTAGTTATGTAAATAAATATAAATAAACTGAACGACCGCAGTAAATTTTTTGGGCGCCGTTTGTCGTACGCTATGGGATGAATAAAATGTCGAAGAAGACAATAAATTTATTCGGGTTATTCCTTATAACGGGTGATGGGCTAAATTGCTTTTACTACATTTTGTATGCCACTAATCACGAGTAGGGACAGTATTTACATACTTTGGTTAATGCATTTACCTATTTTCACAGGACTAAATACTGGTTATACTTAGAAGTAATCAGTTATGTTTAACTTAATATTATACATGAAAGTAATACCGAAACTCCCTACGCCTACCTGAAGCTAAGATCAATGGTATCTGTGTGGCATAAGATTGTGAAGTAGCTCTGCACTTGCAATTAATCTTTAAAGGACAGAGCACGTTCCCCGTATCGATCGCGTTCCACTTGTGATCTCTGACAGAAAGAAGTTTGAATTTGCGGGGCACACTGCACCAATCCTACACAATCTACCACGTTCTGCTCCGCGATTAGGCTATGGGCATCCTGGCCATAGGGGGCGTTTTCGGTTACAAACTATCCGTGAAAATAATTTTTAGGCTTCCGTACTCCTGCAGCGTGTTTCAAGGGGAGGGGGACTGCTCTAAAGGGGATGGAGTAAATAGCCGAACGGTAATAAGGGCTATGTCCAGATACAGCCTGAACCCACGATTGAGAGAATACAAAGGTTGCGCCGATCTCGGACCGCTATTCCTCTCTTAACGAATTTGACAGAATCGCTGTTTGCATGACGTCACACTGGTGCAACTTGTTTACGTTTTCCTTGCAACATTTTTTCTTCTTCTTCCATTCTTGCTCACGTTTTGGCATTTCTCTCTCGCAATTGCACCGGTGTGACGTCACACACAAGTAATTCTCAAAAATCCTCTCCGATCGGCGCAATCTTGTATTCTATCATTCTTGGCCTGAACCTCTTCTCTCTTTTTCTCTCTCTCTCTCTCTTGTCTGATCTGATGGCATTCAAATCAGGATGATTCAGATTCAAAAGTACAGTCACCTTGCCACTTTAGGTACTCACATGAGTCCTGACTGGGCTTTGTCCTGTGGCAGTGTTGAGGATGGCGTGGTAAAATCATTAAGGGACTTTCTTTTCAGCTGCTGAAAAGCTAAAAGTTAAACATTTCGGCTCGTATTTCCTCATCACACCCGAGGAAACCTATTGGCGGTACGTTACCAGCCTGCGGATATTTATTTTGAAGACACAGCGTTTTTTTTTTTTAACATCTAATCTAATGTGGGTTATTTGCAGTTACTGTTCGAGCAAAATCTATTAAGTGGTAGCATAGTATAGCAAATATCTAAGTGAGTACCTCGCGGAGCTCACTAGGAACGCAGCACCTGACCTAAGTAATATCTGGTTCGAATTTCAGAATCTATGCAAACTAAAAATTTCCTTTTCCTTGGGAGAGAAATTTATGTGTTTCTGTTGATCAAAAATTTTTGTCTAGCCCTTAAGAAAGAAGAAGGTCGCTTCTGAGCCTTTTAGGTATTATTCACTGCGATCTTTCGAATTAATGTTAATTCTTCTTCTTTCTTTCTTTGCTGGTAAAAAAACGTTGAGCTATATCATATCTACAACTGTGAGTTTAATGATTTTTGAACCCTTTGTTGCATACAATAGGAACATACGAAAGTTTATATATTATATGAAGCGAAAACTATACATATATACCCTTTGCTCTCATACTGTGTACGAACTTCCAAAATGTGATTTAAATACGTACATACATATGAAAATATAAAAAATAACTGTCATTGCTACCACAAAGGTACGTGGATACGTGTGTATGTACGCATGTACACATTCGAGTGGTACTTAAAGTGTGAACATCTACATTCATATGTATATTTTGTACGTAGCACATTTTTTGTTCTACGTACAAAATAAAGGCATCCATAAAAATTTAAAAATTTTCAAAATTTGAAAAATTTAAAATTTTCCTTAAAAATCGCAAAAATTCGACAGTGTTGACTTAAAATCTGATAAATTTGAAATATTATTGCAAGTTAGGGCCGTTTTCACAGAGGGGGGTTTACTCAAATTGGGCAGTTAACTTTCAATGTTTGTGCTGAAAACTTATAGTTAACTGCCGAATGAGAATTAACTCGTGAGTGTGAAAATGGCCCTTATTCATGAAAATTCGTAGAGTTGTAGCTGATTAAATTCCAAGTTTTGTCGAGTTTTCGCGATTATAAAAAATTTATTTTTTCAAAAATAAAATTTTTTTTATACCCGAGCGCACTTGTTCACAGGGTATTATAACTTTGTTCGCATAACGGTTGTTTGTAATAGCCTAAATGGATCGAGATAGATATAGACAAATGTATACATAAATGATCAGAATGGAAAGAGAAGTCGATTAAGCCATGCCTGTGTGTCCGTCCGTCTGTCCGTGTACACGATAAACAAAGCAAAAATTGAGATATCTCAACGAAATTTGGTATACAGGCTGCCCTTTATCCAAGGAAGGTTTCAAATGGGCGAAATCGGACTGTAACCACGCCACCTTGTCATATGACGGTATTATCGAAAAATGCGAAAACCAGGACCCAGCTAAGAAATTTGCTATCATTTGAAAAGATGATTGATTTGAAATCATTGAAAAGGGACAATAGCCACGCCCACCTCCCATATAACATTTGCAAAAACACGAAAACTGCGATAAATCAGTAATTACTGAAGCTAATTGGCTAAAAATCGATTATTGCAATGACCACTGAGCAAAAAATTAGACTATTATAAATTTTTAATATTTAATAACCACAGTAGGAAAAAGCAATTCGTTGAAAATTATTCAAATCGGACTAAAATTTCACTGGCTTCCGGTATAACGGTAATTTTCCGATATAAGAAAACTCCTATATTTCAATAACTGAGGTCGTTAATTTACTTCAAATTAATACTTACAACAATCTTTTAACAATAAATAAGACTTTCATAGACTTTTAAGTAGTTTAAAGAAAGTTGGAACGACAATAGTTGATACCTGCGCCGGGTATGTAAAATTCGGTTTCGCCCGNTATTTGTGTAATTTTGAAATTTTCTTTGGTGTTTTTATTTTGTACGTAGAACAAAATAAAGGGGTGCTTCATTGTGCTGATAGTTTAAGGACCACAGGAGAATGCATATATGTACCTTTATCTGAGTAAGGTATAAAGATTGTATGAATGTGGTCACAAGGTGATGTGGCCAATGAAAAATTTACTCCTTTTAGTTTTGTTCCTTAGCCTCTTGCATGAAGTGTGCTTCATCCCACTTGTAGTGGCTCGTTTGTTTTATGTAAATTCATACATGCGTGCTCGTATATACATACATACATACATATATACATCTACATACGTATGTACATACATATCACCCAGCAATTTGAGTCCTTCCGCAATGTCTTTGTCTGCATTTTTATTGTGTATGCATGTCATTTGAGGTATATACATATGTATGTGAATAGTTTTCTCAGTGCCCTTACGTTTAAGTATCGAAATAAACTCAACAAAAAAAAATCCATTTAAAAATAAACTTCGTCTCTCAAAGGCTGCTGGCAAATTTTACTGCCACCGTTGGTTTCCTTTTTACAGTACTTTTACTGTTGTCCACATTTGTTGGTATTTATGCATTTGTTTGTATTTCTGTGCACAGATATCAACGCAAGCGTGCGTGTGATGCTTGGCAAATTAAAAGAATACGAATCATAAATAAGTTGAACAATCAAAAAAAAAAATATATACATATATACAAAACAAGGACAAACGAGTATGCATAATAATAAAATGGGGGAAAACCCTGGCAAAGGTTCGATTGCATAACGATTGCATCATTGTTGCAACGGTCAGTCATCAGTGGAAAAGACCAAAGTAAATACACACCCACGAACAGGAAAGTGTATATGCATTTATGTATTTGTGCCATTGCCTACATATTTAAAATTCATATTCATTTGATATTTCATAAAAATTAACAGTTTCATTGCCATATCAGAGATCTCAACATTGGTGATGAAGTGGTGTGTTAGTGAGCGTGGTGCACAATTACAATTGCGAAGGGCCGGCATATAGATATGTAACGAGCACATTCATTATTCAAAAGGAAAATTGAGATAAATTCGTAATGAATGTTACAAAAGAAATGCATTGGTAAAATACTTGCCTGTAAATTACAAAGCAAGCAGTGGCAAAATAGTAAAAAGGGTATTTGTCGAAAACTACATAGATGTGACAAAAAAGTGTAAAAAGGCAATTTAATGCAAATATGTACATATACACTAGGCGACAAATAAAAGTGTACACCTTGTTCTAATAAAATATTCAGAATTATTTTCATGAAATTTTTTTGCATTAATTATTTATGAAAATATAGCTCATTCTATAACATAAATCATACTAATTAAAGTTTCACACCTTATATAAAGTTCGAAAAAATTCAAAAAAGTTTCATCCAAATTTTAAATTTTTTCTTCAGAACTTCTAGAAAATTGTCCCGTAAGCAGTGTTGTATCCCATTTAATTTTGGTCAAATGAAATGCAAGTTTCGAACGGATAAAAAATCTCGTTTATTTCTCAAATTTTTATTTTGTGACGAATTTTTGCACTGAATCGGCGGGCCCGACGTAGTAAGACATTAGTACAAAGATAATTTACATACTTGGTATAAAAGGAAGTTAAATTAAAATTTCGTCATTTTTGGTATATGACTTTGGTTAAGCAACATGTATTTTCAGTGAAAAAAATACAATAAAAATAGTAACAGGACACCAGCTCCCCATCGTTCGAATGGGCACAAACTTTGGAAATACCAGGTGGAGAAGGACTTGGGTTCACTTGGTATTGCCAATTGGTTTCAATTGGCACAGAAAAGAAACCACTGACATACATTATTGAGCTCTGAAAAAATCGTTTGGACTATTGCAGCGCCAAACAAAGAAACAGGAATGCAATACATAAATAAGGAATTGAAGGAATCATATGCGGACTCCACGGTCCGGCTAAATATTGTAAGGGGAAAAGTGACTTTACAGTACATTGTATGTATAATACATATGTACGTACATTAGGGTGATTCAAAACGAAAAATGTTTGAATGTCGACTGAGAACATTCGGATTTTTGAAGATAATAAGGAAGACAAGTTCCTCCTAAAATTTAAGCATATTTGAAATAGATTTAGAGGTCGCTCAACGCTGTTGTTTATTTTCCGTAAAATGCGGTTTTTTAATGCATCTTTAAAAAAAAGGGTGGATTTGGCTGAACTTTGGTAAGTTGCTGCCATAATATCATTTTATTGCAGCACAATTATAATAAGTTCGATAGATTAGTTTTAAACCCTTTTAACAATTAGTTAGTAACTAAATTTTGCCTTATAAAGAACTATTATTTGCAAAAAATATTTTCTTTTGTTCCTTATTATTATACATCAATTAAAAAAATCACCAAGACGCCATGTAGAATCCAGGCCCTAGTCTTTGCAAATGTTTATAGTATAATGAAAATATTTTGTGCGCTTATTCTTTTGCTAAGCGTTTGGCCGCGCTTCTACTCGTTTTTGTGGCGTGCGTCTTGATGTTATTATACAAATGGAGGGATCCAAAGCTTTGCGTCGCACAGTGTGGAAACTGAAATTTTTTCATGACAAGATCTAATTTCGCGAGAAGAGAACAGCCAGCGAAAAAAAATTAACAGCATTTTAAAGCTTATGGGATAGGGAATAGTACTTTCATTGGATAAAAAAATTACCTTGACCTTTCAAATGACTTATGAGATGTAGGGGGGTTTAAATTTTCTTCTTCTTTTTTGACCGGAAAACAGTATTTAGTGAATTTTTAAAAAAGTTTTGAACACATATCGAGCCCTAACCGCCAAAAAGATGTAAGGGAAAGCTTTTTCAAATTTTTATTTTCGATGCAGAAATGCACCTAGATGCTCTGGAAACATTTCCGAATCAAAAAGAAAATTGTGGAAAATATGTCGCTTACTTTTTTTTTTTGAGGTTAGAGCTCGATATTTTTGTTCTTCCTGCCCCAAGGAACTATTTCCAAAGCATGAACGAAAAACACATTTTATATTTTATTTTGGGAGCTTATTAAATGCTCTGTTTAGATAAAAAAAATACAAACAACCAAAGAAGTCATCTTAAAGGTCAAGGTAATTTTTGATTCAATGTGAGCTTCAAAATGATTTTCGAAAGTAAAACTTTTGTTTTTTTTTGTAATTTTTTTACCCAAAAGGTAATTTAACCTCTTTAAAAAATTAATACGCGCTTTTCGGTTCTTGTGACCATGAAAATGTGTTTAAAATTTTTTTAAATGTTCACTGCATACTATTTTCAGGTCAAACAAGTAAAACAAATGAAAATACCCTACACTTGAAGATCATTTGAAAATTTTTTTATCCAATGAAATTATCCTCATTTCGTATCTCAAAAGCTTTAAAATTCTGTTAATTTTGTCACGCCGTCTCCAAGCGGCATATGTATTTTGTGAGAAACTTTTTTATGGAAAAAATACATTCGGAAAAGTACACACCCAAACAATGAAAAACAGCAGACAAAAGAAAAGCCATATATGATACGTTTGCAATGCACTTTTCCGGCCCTTTTGTGTATTTCGAAACATTTCTGGTACAAAGCTGCCATCTCTTCGAAAAGTCAAAATAAATTTAATCAACAATTTAAATCAAATATTTTAATATGGGTATCAAACAAAAAAAGTTTTAGAAAGTTTTACTTCGAAAATATTTTTGATGATGTTTGCCACCTGTTTATAACTTCAAAATATATTTAATTAACAAGTGAAATGAAATATAATATGTTTAATATGGTATCACCTTTATGATGAAAAAATTATCGAAATCGGTTTATGTGGTCCAAAGTTATGCGGTACCATACATAAAACAAAACAAAAATATTCCGACGAATAGATAACCTCAAGTCGGTAAAGTTAACGTGTTTTTTTTTCATTTTAAGCAAAATGCTTAGACTTATCACTAAATATCATACACTTTGGAAATTATATAGTTTTAAATTTACTGATACGCTTTAACATTTTGCCGAAAATTCAAAAAAATGTTAAATTTTTAATATGTTTGATTTTATCCTTGAGTGAGTGAATTTATGGAAAAAACATAAAAGCATTTTTTTACAGCCTTCAATTTCCTTCAACTGACTTAAAAACGAGTTATAAAATAGTAAAATCCGAAAAATTTCAATATGTTATTTAACTGGAAAATAGAGACTCGCGATGATCGATCTCTTAGCCCTAATATTAAGAGCGGTTGCGTCGCTGTTCCGCAAATAATCCACAAGGGATTTTTAAACAAAAAAACTCGATTTTTTCTTTTTGAACCTGTCTAAAACAAGGTGTCCCGAAATTTAATCGGCAAGTTTTAGGAGTTTATTTGGTGCTCTATACATATATATGTAAGTATATATACCTATTTTTTGTGAAAGAAAAAATGTATGTCAACTAAAATAAAATATTAAAGTAAAATATAAAAACTATATACATACATATGTACATATGTAGATTTAATATGTATGGCAGTGGGCATGCCAAGCACAGCAAGTAAGGCGATAAACTAAACTAAAAAAAAATACCACTAATTTTTACATAATCAATAAACGAAAAAACAGACAACAAAAAACTTAAAGCTTTTAAATAAAGGCTAATCATAGCAGACATCAAAGAAAGTGGAAGCTGTGTGACTACAAATATATTGAGTAGATTACTAGGGAGATGAAGCAAACAAGTTTTGAACGAAAGCAAAAGTAGCTGAAAGACACGCAAAATAGGGAGCGCGTGCGCAAGCGTTACCGCCCATGCTGCTGCCATTGGCAGCTTTGGCAGTGAATGTGTGTGGCAGTGTGGCAACAATCAGGTTGAGCCGCTATTCGATATATATGTATGTAGATACAAAAATATTCCCTGCAGTAAAATTTAGAGACTACATATTTCAGAATTATCTCTGAACTAGTGCAAAACGGCTGCAGAGCGGCACAGTTGAAACTTGCGGTGTAACTGCCGTCCCTAAATTCGAGCGCTAAGCGTTGCTTTTTCCATTGGCAACGAGTGTCAGCGCGCGCTATCCCAAAATCAACGCGGCGTAATTTTTGACGGTTTCTCATTTGCTCTCGTTTTTACTCTGGTTTCCGTTTTTTTCCTTTCTTTTTCTTTCAGTCTGCTGCATCCAACTTCAACACGAAACGCTCTGTCAAAAATGAAAATTCCATTTGCTCGGAGTTACCGCCGCGTTATTGTAGGATGCTTCATACAAATTGTATGGGCATGAGAATTTTTGACACTTGCTTGGCGCTTGACAATTTAGTTATGGCAGTCAGTGTACAAATTCTCACTTCTCGTACAATATGAAAGTAGCTACGGCGAGAAGATCTCCGACTCAAGCATTGTTGGTCGCGAGTTCAAATCGCGGTGGAGGCAGTTGTGAGTTTTCAG